CAGTAAAGACTGTCTGCAAAAGTCTGTTTTTAAGGGATGAAGGAAATGGCATAAAAACCGGGACAGGAGCAGGTAGAGTGTGTTTGTGAGTACACGTGCTGGGGAAAATAGATTACAAGGGAATGGGTGTTGTGATGAACAATTGTCCCAGACTGTAAGTATGTAAAAGGAGAAGACGTAAATTCCTCTGCTGTAACATTATTACTTTTGTAAGCTTTTAAGTAAACAAAAATGTACAAAATCAACAGTATCACTGGACTTTTAAAATGTAAAAGTGACTACGTTTGTTCCCATAATCAGCACTCATAAAATAATATTTTCTCCCTGAACTTTGCTGACAAAATTTATGTCCCCAGAGAGAATCCAAGGAAGCAAACACAGTGACATTAGTACCATGTCTCTTTAGAAAATCTGAACCAAACAAGATGCAGGTCTTGCAAAAAATGAACAAACAAAAAACCCACAAAACCCAGAATGTTTTACACAAACAGCTCTCAGGACTACAGAATGAACTCTTTTAGCAGAATGTTTAAGGCAAGTATGGGGACTTTGCAGCAGGTATTTCATTCTCTTCAATTCTCTCGGCTTTGCACATAATGATAAAATCAGGAGGCAGAAATATGGATGAATTAATGGATTTGACAAATGGCTGCGGTCTCAATCCCATTTGTGATTAATTATTCCTGAAGGGATAAGTACACTTGTCCCCTCCGTTCCTGCCTCACTCCTGAGAAGTGTTTAGGATACATATAAATACAAAAAGAAGCACTTCAGGCAGTCTGGCATTGTCTGAACCCTTTGAAATGACAGGCTGCCTCTGCCATGGAGTGTTAGCTTTGGAGAGCTATCGAGCACCAAGTGACAGCCTTAATTTTTAATTTCTTTGCATTTGTAGGTTTAAGACAGACTCCAGCCAGCCGTCTGTGTTAATGAAGCACTAAGTACATTATGTAATTATAAGGTTCTGAATATAATTGCTGTGTATGCTGCATAATTTAAGTTCCAACTGTACTCGCATCTCTCATTTACCAAGCCAGCGAAGGATATAATAATATTGAAAACAATAACAGCTCAATGCCACTACAATGTAGTCATGGGGGGCTGCACTTAACGAGTGTGTTTGTGATTCTTATAAAGAGATTCTGGCTGATAAAATCACTGTAACTAAAGGTTGAGGTTATCTGTAAGATGAGTCTTTTCCTTGCAAGTCTGAATATAATGCCCTGACTAAGGAAATATCTGATACTAAAAGTGTATTCTAGGACTGGAGACTTGCCAGTTTTTGCAGAATGAGATCTCAGGGGTACAGTGCATCGTGGCAGGGGAGAACAGGGCTGCTCTGAGGTATGGAAAGAAGCTCACTGTCTTGTTTGGTCTGTTTGTAAAGTAGTCGGACATCATCAGAGACTTGTGAATGTGACAAGACAAAGGCTGGGGTGAGATGGTTCTTTTGGTGGCAGGATTTTGCATCCCTGTTAGGCGTGCCACATGGCAGGCAAAGGTAATTGCACGGTTCTCAGAGGCTTCCCTGCCTTATTTATTAGTTGACTGTGGCTCCCTGGCCATATAGTTTCCTAGAAGTTTAATTTTTTTTTACTCCTCCTTGGTGGAAACACAGTGAAATACTTTTGATGTTGGGTTTTGTTGGTTTTTTTTTCCCCAAAAGTATGATTCTGTCAAATATTCATTGATAACACTTGTGCCTTTTCTGACTAAGGAATGTTTGGTAGGATATGGAGTACACATGGTAGACTTAAAGTTTCCATGTTTTTCATTCCAATTACTATGAAAAGGGCAGAGGGTGGATTTATGGATTTGAGCTGGGGTTCCGTGCTTCTAAGTCACTGAGATTCTGCAGATGTTGGCCAACAACTTCTTCCTTCTTACCCCCCGCCTCCTTTTGATATCAGGCTGCCAAAACAAAAGGCAGCTTCCATGAAGCAATAGTTTTAGCCAGACCTTGTTTAACTGAAGTCCCATTTTGTCTTTACAGCTTGCCAGTTTTTCATCTCGTTGCTATCACAAGATGCATGGTACACTTAAACAAAGCAGACTGAAGGGTGTGACCTTATGCATAGGCTCAATTCTCCAGCTATTCCGTGTGCATCACCATGGTGGTAGTGTTTTAACTGTACACACATGGCCTGTTTGCAAGGTGGATTCTGTGGTATTTTCTTTTTTTTTCCCCTCTGCCAAAAGAGAGTTTGATAAATCCCTCCGATAAGCCAGCAATGGAAAAATAAATAACAAAAAGTAACCCTCAGCTTAGAGTTTCTGGCAGAGGAATCTTAGGGTGGTAATAAACTGTTGTTGCTACTTGAAATTGCAAATGTACTCGGGTGGGCTATGAGGTCCTTTAACTAGTGTCCAAACAAAAGTAGTCAACTTTTCCTTCCATTCATGGTCTTGTAGATTTTATTGCAGAGAGATTGCTCCAAGACTTGTCAGCAGCAGCCTGTCATCAGACTTACCAGACACAATCTCCAAATGTTGCTACTAGAGCACTAATTTTCCTTGACAGTTATTTTTGCCACAACACCTCCCCACTACCTCCTTGTTTCCCACCAGCTCAAATTCAGCATCTCATTTTATTATTACTTTACACGTCATTGTATCCAGGTCTGCACTAATAGTTTGTTATGGAAAGGTAAAGTAATAAAAAATTCTGAAGTACCATTAGGGACAAGAAAGTTCCTAAGAATGTACATATGTGTTCAAAAATGAGTATAGTTTATTTTAATACTTGTATGAAAGTTACTGAATTCACTGAATCAGTGAAAATACTGGGCTTCCTATTAAGTGATGAGAGAGCAGTAAGTGAATGAAATTCATCCTGAATGGAATGAACTGACCTCATTTATGTCTGGACTGACTTAAGCTTTTGTCAAGACCAAATGTTCTTACTCCTTATTGTTACTTGAGCTGGAGGTGGTTAAGGTAGGAGAGCAGTGAGTCTGCTCTCCTTAAAGAATTAACATCAATGGTTTTTGTGCTTTAACCTAGGTTTTCTTTTTTTAAACCTGCCAGTTTTTCAGTTTCAGTTTTTTAAGATCTAAGGAAACCTTGAGAATTGGAGAATGATTGTCTCCAAACAAGGCAACTTTGCATGAATTCTGTGAAAAATCTTTATCCTGACTTGATTTTAGTAAAGACTAGCTGAAATTTAGAGTTTGTGATGAAACCTCAAGCCATACAAGTTTCATGTAACTTCAAACTAACAAGAATTTAAGTATCTTCATTGATCAACCCAAGGTGTTAATATATATTTAAATCTATATGCCCACTACTCTTTGCTTAATTTGAGTATTACAAATTTAAATCAAACCCAAAAAGCTACAGGTTTTTAATTAAATCTGCTGAGTGATCCTTCATGCAAAGAAATGTGTTTCTGTTTAAGTGTGATTTTTTTGTCTTCATTTTGGAGTCACTTTGGACAAGAGCCTGTTACATCGCCTGGCACAGCAGTGCTGGTTCTTAGTATTTCTGTTGCAGTAGCAGCAAACTGAGATAGACACCTTTGTGCTAAGTACTGTGCAAATATGCGTAACCATACTGTATGGAAGAAAGTAAGTCTCTTTCCTGTTTGGCTGATGGGGCAAAAGTGAATTGCTAAAGGGTATACAGTATATTTCTGGCAGAATTCACATTGCTTAAATCCTTGCAGCACTTTAGCTACAGACCATCCTTTTCCCTTAATTTTTGTAAGGTAGAAGTAACTCTCTTAACACGTCCTTTGTAGACTAAATGCAAACACACGGCAATAGCTTATGATTTAATTTCCTTGTTTGGATCTCTGTGGTGACTGTAGCATGATTAGGCATTTCTAAAATGCCACACGGTGTTCCTTGTTCCTTCCAAATGGGCTGAGCAAAAGGGCCCTCTGAATAATCACTGTTGTGTTCCACATTCTTGCCTTATGTAGAATTTGTATTACTCAAATCCCGCTTTAGCTGCAGACCACCTTTCTTACTTTTGGTAAGACATCTCTCGGCTTGATTACAGTTATTTTTTCAGAGGAAAACTGAGAAGGAGGGAACATCAACTCTGTGGAGATGGTGCCTTCTCTAAGTTCAAACTGCCTTTCAACACGAAGAAGAAAGAAAAGCTTACACAAAGAAGAACAGAGCGGGGTCCCCTACTCTCCTATTGAAGACTCACTAACAACTGTCTCATCTTGACATGTTCCCACCACTGGCATAAGGCTGCAACCTGCATGGTTACTGTTATTAGTGTTAATCATCCGACCACCCAGTGTCTTAGGAGATAAGGGGGAAATATTACAGTTGGACTGGAACATCTTACTTTAGGAGCCACAGTGAGGAAAATTGAATTGACAAATAGCAGCTGTGTACCTTTTAAACTTTAATGCAGCGATTTTACTATTTGGTACAGTGGGAATTTCTTTATCCTTGAAGTGCAGTGAGAAAGCTGCTCTTACTCTAGTTGCATTTAGAGCTAAATTACCATGTGAAGTGCAGAAATATGAATAAACCATTCTCTTGTTTGAAAATTGGTTATTGGAGGCCAGTCCTACAATTCCAAAGGGTTATCAGTCCTTTGAGTTCTTTTCTGAGAGATTATTCTTAAGAGAAATACTTTAATGCATGCATGTCTTTTCAGAACATCCAGTGGTGTGTTGCAGACATGAATGCCTTGAGCATTACCCAGTGAAGGAGTGGTAATTTGAGCCTTTGAGACAGATCTTATTCATTTAAACATGAACTGTTTTTCAGAGATTCTAACAGCTGTCCTCCCTTCTGGTCTGACACTGCTTGGTTTTGCTAAATTTCAAGCACAGCAGGAGGCTACCTTGTTATGCTCTAGCGACTTTAACTGCAGAATTCTGCCAGTCCTTGATATTGTACCAGGAACAAGCTTGTATGGTCAGCAGCGTTGCTCAGGGGTTGCAGGATCAAGCTTTGTATGTGAATGACTTGTTTGGGAAGCTGTGATTATATGACAACTTTAAGAAAATGTTTGTTACCTTCTTTTCCTTGCAGTGGCCAGTTTGCTATAGTGAAGAAATGTCGAGAAAAAAGCACCGGTGTGGAGTATGCTGCTAAATTCATTAAAAAACGTCAAAGTCGGGCCAGCCGTCGTGGAGTGAGACGCGAGGAAATCGAACGGGAGGTTACTATTCTGCAGCAGATCCTGCATGCCAATATCATCAAGTTGCATGACATCTATGAGAACAAGACGGATGTGGTCCTCATCCTTGAGCTGTGAGTAAAGGGGACTTCCTGTCCTCCGGGGTAGGATGAGGTAAATAGGAGCCGGAAAGGGCTGCGGAGGCTGCCAGAAGGTAGAAGCACTGTTAAAATGGAGCTGGTGTGTCCTCATGCCTTGCAGATCTTGGCAAGATAACAGAATGAGGTTGCTGGTAAACAGGCCCCCCAGCTCATCCATGTGCCCTGGGGATACAGGTGCACCTTAACATCAGCTGAGGCCATTGTTACTGAGCCAGGGAGTGTTGTCAAACTTGAAAACAGTTTACTAACAGAGGCATTACCTCATGTCTGCCTAGTGCTGCCCTGACATGAACCTTGGCTGAAGCACAAATGGCCACTGAATGCTCATTTCATTTTTCTTTCTGCTTTCAACTCTTCCAATGCATGTGAAGCCATCAAGTCCTTTGCAGAATTTGTAGCCATTCTCACTACCCCTATATTTTCCTCATTTAGAAGCAACTAGGGGCAAAAAAACGAGGTGGACAAGGCAAGAGGTTTTTTTAATCCTTAGACTTTGACTATTGAGAATTAATAGCTGCAGGGTGGGAGTGAAGGTCCTCACTCTTCTCTTGTTCCCTCATGTGATGGGGGGTAGAACGCCTGCCATTTAGGTCCAGCTGACAAGTGGGATCTGTGAGCTGCTGTAACCTCACCCCTGCGTTGTGACCCATTGGATAGTCATCATAAGCAGCAGCCTGGCTATCAGACATATTTGGCTATGTAAGGCAAACTGGTTTGTGCAGTTTAAGAAGAGATTTAAAACCAGCTAGCAGCATCTTCTCTGTCTGGGCCGAGGAACAGCGGCTTATTCTACAGAACCTGTGGGTGTCCCTTCCTGGAAGAATAAATGCACAGGCCAGGGAAGCTGGAGGTATGATCAGGAATCATCTTAACAAAGCCTTGGCTAAGGACCCTTCCCTTTGTTGGAGTTTGAATTTTGGGTAGTCACCTTTGATGCTTTGGTTTGTATTTAATTGTATTGACTGAAAGGAGGTGACAGAACCTGGCTAGTAGGGGTTACTATGTAAAGAAATGCCAGTTTATTAGAATTCGAAGTGGTATCAAAATTGCCAGTCCCTGAAAGAGTTATTAAATCACCTGTGTGAATTCTGTTTGGCTGTTTGTTTCATCGGCCTAGAAAGACTACATCCCAAAGACATCAGCTGCTTCTTACCCACTGTTGCCTTTCCTGTATGTTTGACAGAACTGAGGTGAAACATTTGAGACAGATGCAGACCACGGCCTAATAATGTAATCTCTTCTAACACAACTTGTTTTGAACGTGTTCTGCCTGTTTCTACTGCTTGGCTTGACATTCTTAAAGTCTGCCATTTGGACAGATGAGCCTGACCACATTTTGGAAAGCTCTCGTGTCATTTTAGCAGTATTTCAAAGTCATTATGTTTTGGGGATTGCATGGAGGGGATGATTCTGTGATGTTAATCTGAAATGTGTGTGGAGCATAAAGTTTACACAATCACTTCAATGCTGACACTAACATATGCGCGATGGAATTTCTACACCTTTGTAAAATGTAATGTGATGTAGAAGGACCCTAACAATAAAGAGGAACAGGAGGATGATTTTATAAAGAAGTACCACCTCTTTCCAGCCCGGCCAGGAGAACTTTGCTCAGTGTAAACAGCATTTTTGCCTCCTGGCGTCACAACCCAATATGAGTCAAAATGACATTGGAAGACTTTTTCCTGTTTATGTGACTTCAGCTTATATTGGAGAGGCTAAAGTAGAGGTTTTGTGAGAAGGGACTTTTGATATCCCAAAAGAATAAAGAGTTGCTTTGGCAGAGCAGGAGTAGGGCACATAAACCAGTTGCAGCAGTTTTCAGGATTCCTAGTGTGCAAGGGAAGATTATTAGAGTAAGTAACTGATCTGTCAGATAGACTGAATATACTAACATGTTAGATGCTACAGAAAATTGTCATCACTCTAGGTAAGTCATGTAATTAATTTCACCTTCCCCTGCTCACACCAGGGATGCAAATTCTCCACTGTGAAGTCAGGAGGGGAGCTAAGCTGCCTGCTGCTGCTTGGATTGCTGTTCTCATTTGCCAGCCATTCTGATGCATATTAGATTTGACCTGTAGTGGCTGCAGGTCACAGAAAGATCACTTGCTCCTCTGCATTCCACCTGCAGCTGAGTCCTGGGGACATCTGGATGTCCCCAGTTTTAATAGTGTTACTGTCAATGTGTGTGTTTGAGAATAATTTCAAGAAAGCTCTGCAGTTGCCTAATGTGAACTACTGAGTTTTAAAAAAAAAAAAAAATCTGCCATGATAAAATTATATCACTTTTTAAGGAAATGAAAAAGGGGAGGCACCAAGTGATTGGGTCTGTTTCTACCCAAACTTATACTGGGATAACGAATTTGGATGAAACTTGGTACTTGACTTGTTGCCATTCCAGGTGTTTCATGGCTGAGGATCAGAACTGAAATAGCAGTGAGTGACTCTGTGTGCACACGTGATCATATAGACCTATGTCCAAAGCATTTCTTTCTGTGCAGTTCATGCAGTGTGTGCTTTTGGTCTGCCTTAAGGAGTTGAAAGGGATGTAAATTATCTTAGTGCATGTGCACATTTATATCTATATGTATTTGTGGCTCAGCCTTCTTAATCTTCACTGAGAACCAGGGGAAACCTGAACACTGTCACACAAAGCAGAGAGTAGAATTGTGTGCTTGTACTCATCAGAGCCAGGAGTGGAAATAGCTCTTCTATTAAATGGAGCTTTGCTGGTCAGAATGTACGGTCTTGGCCTAAGGGATTGCAATTTGTCCTGTAATGGTGGAAGACAGATATCAATTTAAGCTTTTTTGGGTTGTGTCCTGTTCTCTTGTGGAAGCAATATTGTCTAGTTTACAAAGCTCTGAGTCTTAGAGGAGCGGTGCAGATGACATATCCTTTACCTGTCAATTCCTGGTACTAAGGTAGAGCTGTAAGCAAGGAGACAGCCTGAGGTCTTTTACTTATTAGAATTTTTAGGTAATGAATAAATGATGGAATTTTACTGTATGTATGAATCAGGAAATAGAGACACTGTGGCTGGGGTTATGTAGACCATATGTTCCCCAGGGCACCTGCCTCAACCTTGTGTATGGAATCCAGGCAATGAAGCTTTGATCCCTGAGTGAGATGAAATAACCACTAGCTTTCCAGGGGAGCCAGCATTTAGGCCAGGGAGCATTCCTGGGGATTAGTGTGACTGCTGGCAGATGGCATATGCGTGATGATAAGCATCTGTTAATTTTTAAGTATATGTCTATGGCCAAATGTTGTTCTCTGCAGCCATGTGCTGGGAGACAGGAAAGGAGCTCGCTTTTTCTGACTGGCAGCCCCTTTGTGCTAAAACAAGCTCTCATTTCATTACCCTCCACTTTTCCCTTTACTTACATGGCCTCACTGATTTTATGTGTCCTCTTGTCAGGCTGTAGCACTTTTAAAAGACTGGGTGCAACAGAGTTTTGACCTGATTAAGGCTGCTGCATTCAGCTGTTGTATACAAATTGAGGATGATGATAATTGCTAATAAAGATAATTAAATTCTCTCTGTAAACAGATGATCTCTCCTCCTGCCACTGATATCAGAATCTCATACTGTCTGCAGCTCGTCAAAATAAGCGTTACAGCACTTGGCCAAGTAATGTTAATGTTAAGCTGCAGTGGACTTCAGCTTCAAAAGGGTGTCCCCAGTATTCACGATTAATTGAAGAAGCTACCCTGGTGTTTAAAGGAGGCTGTGGCTAAAATGTTCACCCTCTCCCAGACTCACTGTGCTGGCTCAGGCAAGACCATCTCCTCTTTACACAGGGGTTGATTCTACAAGTGCTGTTTCTTCTGTTCAAGAGCAGGAAGAGCATTGCCAAGTCAGCTGCTGTTAAGTGCAGTTTGGCAGGTACACAGTTTACCCTTCCTTGTGCACATTGATCAGGGATACGCTCCCCACAGCTTTGTGTGACCTTGCTGTTCTCTCTCTTGGGCCCTGCCTTGAGGCTGCTTTGCCCAAATGAAAGCAGTGTAAAGGCAGGTTTGATTGATATGCCACTCGCTTGCCTCTACTGGTAAGTGTCAAGATTGTGTACACAAAATAAACAGCTGTTTCCAAGTAAGGCAGCATTGTCATTTGTCTTTTATTGGACTTTGAAGGAAGAGCAAAGGCATCATTTGTTTACTTCTTTGTTTGCCATGGGAAAAGGTGACCTGGTAAAAGGTAAAGAGCTGGAACCAGAGCAAGGAATTTTTCTGTACCTAAGGTCCTTTGAGAAAGGAGCATTTGCTCTTTTACAGGTGGTGCTGACTTAGAAAACACACCTCCTTGGATGTTCAAATGTAACTTGTAGTGCAGTATATGAGTGTTTTACTGCAAAGGTGTTAGTGCTGAACTGCTTTTTTTCTGGGATTCCATAACAGCTGGCTTTTGGGATTGCTAAGTCTCTTCTGCCTGAGGGTTTCTCTGAGTTCAGGTGCATAACTTGGGTAAGAATGATCCTGCACTAAACTGCTTACCACTCTCTTTGACTATAATTTACTTAAATCTGTTTTGGATGCCTGAGTCTTTGTTGATGAGAAATCATCACATCTTTTCTACGTAATTTTCTTTTAGATTACCTTTTAGGATCTCTGCAGGTCATGCTAATGTCTTAGGCTGTACCACAAGAGACTGAAGAATGTACTGTTTGTAATGTGTGCTGATCACTGACCTTCAGAAAATGAAATGATCATGTGGTTGTTATAAGAGGGAACCTTTTGCTGATAAAGTAACAGAGGGACTTCAGACTCCTGAATCTTTTTCCTGTTTCCTTTTTTATTTTTATGTTGTAAAAATAAAACCGCTGCCTAGCCTGATTCAAGGTTAGTGTGAACTAGAGAGAAGAGGGAAAATACAGCAAGGAGCTAGCAAGTAAATCTCCTGTCATCCTCATTCTTGGAGGCTGTACAGTTTTTTTCAGTGATGCCTTAGGTGTAGCTGGTTGCCCAGGAGGTTGCCGTTGGTGCAAAATCCTGGTGTGCCCTGAGCAGCAAGCTCAACAGTTTTAAGTGAGCACTCTTGGGGTTAGCAAGAGGGAAAGGGAATTAAGTACCTCCAGTCTGGGCAGCTAAACAATTTTCTGACATTCCTTTGTGTAGCAAAGGAGATTCCTCAGAAGAAAGTTGCCACCTCCTCCAGGCCGGAAGGTGCTCTCTAACATCCTTGGCACAGGCCTCTGTGCCGGGGGAAGGTGAGGGGAATGGCTTTCACAAAGTGGCTCAGCTCCTCTGCTCTCCTTAGCTGGTACCTTCTTTTGCTGGCAGTGGAGAAGTGGAGGCTGGGCTACCTGGGCTGTTGGGCTGGCCCGAGAGTGAACTTTTTTATTCTCAGTCCTGATTAAAGAGTCCACCTTAAGGAACAATCGCTAAGGAGATTTTACAGGGTAAGAGAGGACAAGAGTGGTGTGCCTACATGGTTAAATTCCAGGAAAGTAGAAGAAAGTATCCCGGTACAGCTGGCTTCCTGATGACCATAGTGCCTGCCAGAGGTGATTGCTTAAGTGAGGTTTGAATAGAAATCATTAAGGAAATGGGACTTGCCTGCTCTCTGTACACACATTTCACCAAGAGATTACCAGGTTTTACTCACAGATTTCTTTACTAGCTTGTCACAGCTGTAATAATTTTTAAACTAATGAACAAGGGCCCCTAAACCTGCTACAATATGGAAAGGAGAGAGTGTTCTCTGGCTCCTGAAATGCACAGGGTAAAAGAAAACCTGTCCAGCAAGGCTGGCGATAGGTCTGAGACCCTTGGTATGTGTCACCTGAAGGGAAAATCAGAGACCAAACAAGTCTCACAGGCTGAGTACCTGAGATTAATAGGAAGGAGAAGGCAGCAGCCAGAGGCACTAGTTGCAGCATATTCCTGGGTCATGTAAGTTTATTTTTGTTTGCAAACCATTTAGTTGTAACAAATAAAGCATCAAGTGCCTTCTGCCCAGGTGAAGTGTCCTGCCTCTTGTTGCTTAGAAAGTTTCTGACTATGTGGGACCTATAAAAAAATATGCAGCAATCGATTCTCAAGTCAATAGGCCCTATGGAGACCTCTGCGTGTGGAACAGCAAGGTATGCTGTCAGCCACAGCAACAGTGCAAGCTAAGAAATAAGCCCAGTGTCTTTGTGGCTTTTGACACGTTGTTCTCGTTTGCAGTTAGCTTGTCCTTGCAGGTTTTGTAGCTGTTCACAATAGTTTACTCAGAAGAAGGCAGAGGAGGGAATCACCATCTCGTCACCACCAGTGTTGTGTAGGAGCCTGGGGTCAGAGAGGTGATTGCACAGAGGCCTCTGCAGTGCACACTGTGATCCAACTTGTCTGTGAGTCACAGCACTTAGTTAACTCACAGCATTTGAACCTGCCAGTTCTTTTACAGGTACATCAGACAACCAGGCCAAAAGCTTGTTTTCCAAAATGACTGTTGGATCTCTCTGGTCTTGTGCTTGCACTCTGAATGGTGACCATAGGTGGGTGGTACGCCTGAGCCCGAGAGCAGCAACCGCTTTGTGGGTGCCCCAAACAGAATTTGAATGAGAATAAATCAATAACATCAATGACAGTGTGAACTGGAAAAATACGTGTAAGCATAACTATGAACACCAGTTGCAAACAATGCTTAATTCAATATCTAGGTCACCCTGTTTCATAATGTATAGAAAAATAGCACTGGAACTCTCAATACAAAAATGGAAATAGAAGTCTTATGTACTAAATATGTATGGAATGTATTTCAATTTTAGTCTGAAAATTCATAGTAACTAATAGCACTTCCTTTATTTGGGGGAAAAAAAATTAGGTACCTTCCAAGCTGCTACAGTCTGCTATCTTTCTAAAAATTCAGCACAAAATAAATATGTTCCTGTCAGTTATGTCAGGCAGGAATCTGTTGATTAGAACAATGTAAAGGCTGTTCTGGAAAGAAAAGAGATTCTGTTGGCAGATCTTATTGCCTCATGTTTCTGATGGCAACCGATAAGAGAAGTAATTCTTTAACAGTTGTTGACTATTACAACTTGTTCTATGTCCTCTGTCTCATCCAAAATGAACATGTTGAAAAATAGCATTTTGTGGTTAACATCAAAGTCTACCTATTGAAATATGTACATGTCTGTAGATTCATCAAATTATGTACCTTTTTTTTGATCCTTTATAATTGTTGATGAATCAAACTTTGCAGCGTTACTGAATTAGGGAAAGTGAGTCCTTAATCTACAGGGGAGAGTGCTGAAGCCAAAAGGAAGTTTTGGCACACCTGGGACCAGAACACAAAACTCCAGATTGTCTGCAAGAGGGGCCTCTTTCTGACTGTATGGAGACTTTTTGCTACTTTAGTTTTTTGTGCTTACGCTTATTTTCAATCTTACAATGCAGTAGATAACAGGACATTTTCTGGTGTGTTTTGCAGAGTTTCTGGAGGAGAACTTTTTGACTTCCTGGCACAGAAGGAGTCTTTGAGTGAAGAGGAAGCAACCAGATTCATCAAGCAGATTTTGGATGGTGTGAATTACCTTCACTCTAAGAAAATTGCTCACTTTGATTTAAAGGTAAAGATGTTGATTTAGGCTTATTGTCACTGTTGCTTTTTAATGATGGACTGTGCCTTCTACAGTTTGTTGGATATCTTATGCCTAAAATAATGGGTAAGACCATTTTAAATGCACTTCACAGCTGAGTGCTCCAGGGAAGACAATCTCCTTTATCAGGCCTGTGGAAACTTTTAAATGGGCTTATGTATTTTCTGAGAAAAAGAAATTGTAAGTCTTCTTCCTTCAGCTGTTTGCTTTTGTAGTATCATCCAAAGCATGCTGTTTAAAAAAAAATTAAATGATGCACAGAGGAAATGCATTTTTGGGAAGAGGAGGGCCAGGGCGAGTTGCAAATAACCGTTGCTGCTTCTACTCCCCACTGTGTTTAGAATTTCATGAGGAGTATGTGTCATCCAGTGCAGTTTGGTTAACAAAAAGACTTCTTGCTTTCTTAGATGCTTAGGGCCTTGAAAGCACATCACAGAGAGCTCCCTTCCTAACATATCAGATGACGTCTATAGCTTTGGTCCTAGACTTTGATATCAATACAACTGGCCTAGACAACACAGAAGAGACTGTCTCTCTCTCCTTTTGATTGTGGCCTACTGAGGTAAACATGCTTCTCTGAAACCAGAAGTCTGTTGTCGTTGGGAATGAAGCTCTTGAGACTAGAATAAAGTGCTTTTTTAGTAGCAGACTCACAGCTACAGAACTGTCTCAGACATTGCTACTTCCAGAAATATATTAAAAATGTAGCTATACCCTAGGAGAAAGTAGCATAAACAAGAGTGAACAGTTTTAAAATGAAGTAAAAAGGAAGAAACTCTACTGCTAGATTACATGTTCCTTCTCCTAACTTTAAATCCAGGTTAGTTTATTAGTAATTATATGTGTGCTACAGATAGACTCCTCCCAGATTCGCAGGACATATATGCTGATTCCTGGTGCTAAATGTGTGCCCAATTATGTCTCTGTATTAAATTGCTTGGCCCTGAGTCAGTGTTAATGGCATATATGTAGTCATTGCAAATGTTGCAAATCACATCTAACCTAAGAAACTGGTTTGCAAATTACCGTCCATATCTTCATGGGGCTTATATGAAAAAGTGTAGTTGATGTGTGAACATGAATCCAGAAGGCAAAGACTGAAAGTTTTCACTGTGTGTTAGAAAACTGTGTAATATCCAGTAGCATGAAGTTATTGGGAGAACATAGGTGCAACTTTTTCTGTACTGATCTCTATTTATAATTTTTATAATTAATATCAGTAATGTCAGGTGAACCATGGAGATGTTACAAGAAATGCAAGATAGAAATCAGAAAGGATAAGTAAAGAATCGTTTCACTGATAGTGAATATCAAATGATCTAAAACATATTTACAGAATAAGTCTCCTGGGTTTTATAGTTCTGGGTTTGGAGTTTTGCTAGTGTTAAGTTAGACATGTATATTTAAGCAGTGATCTGATTAGATAGAGGATGATTCATAATTATCTCATCACTTGACAGGGCTCCATTGACTGCAGTGGAACTACAGTAACTTACACCACCTAAGGGATAAAACAGTCCGAGAGTGTGACTTCTTGCCATTTCAGTCTGTTCTGTCTGCTCTAAATAAGCTTACATGTGTCTGGGGTGAACACATATGCCCTAGATCCATGAAAGAAAACCAGACTTGTTGGCCTGAGGCTAAAATATTCCTGGTCCAATGACTATGACAATAAATTATTCATATTCTCTTTCCCAGTGCAGCTCTGGCTGAGCATATGTGTTAGCAGGAGCTGCTTCCACGTTAGGATCTGCTGTGAAAAGGCCAGGCAGCTGCCAGCAGGGAATCAAACTGTCTCACTGTTGCTCTTGGCCTTATGATTAAGTTATGATAAATTAATGCATTTAAGCTCTTCATGGGAGATAAATTGAACCCATAGTTTACTCTGAAACGTGAAATAGGGCCATGGTAGGGAGCAACTAAGGCTGAGAAATTCAGTTGAAGAAATAAGTTTATGAAATTTCCATTATATCTGGTAAAGAAAGTAAAAGTCCGAAAAAGTTAGCTTTAATTTCACAGCTCTAGCTTTGGCTTTTCCCTACAATGCTGTGATAAATGCTACATGAGCTAGGACCTCTGATCCCAATTCTTTCCATTTTCTGGACTGTTCAGATAGTAAATCCTGGGTCTTCCCTGGCCTTGTTATTGCAGCTGTGAATTTTTTCCTTCCCTAAGTAGGTTCAGATGTGACTAGAATCCCTCGACAAGCATTTAATAAGACATCTTCCAGTGGGTTACAGCACAGTATAGGGACAGTTGGGTAGAAATAGTGAGGTTTCCCAGTGTCAATTTCAAGAACAGATCAGTATAAGTGCTGTCAGTCAAGATATTCAGTGGTGCAGCTCTCCCTTAGGATCAAGGAATGGCACTGGCTCTGCACCAGCTATCTGCACTGCTTCAGCTGCCTGCTAACTGCTGGTGTGTGTGCACCAGTTGTAACAGAGGCAGATCCATGGAGTCAGGGTGTCACCTCTTCCCAGGAGGCCCTGTGCGCCGGGGAGATGTTTTCTGTTTCAAAAGGGGACAAGATAAACTGAGCTTCCACTCCATGTTATATCACAGTGCTGCTGGGCTGATAATCGAGTGTCATTTCTTGTCAGATTAGGGGACTGCACACAGTTGTGTGAAAAATTTCTGTCACACCATGAAGACAAAGGGTATCTTGTTTTCATCTTGGCAATAGCCATCGTTAAGAAAATATGCTTAGGAGTGCTAGCAGGAAGATAGGCAGATTTTGCATGAGATAAGAGTAACACTTTCATTCTTTTAATTTTATTAGATTTGCTTTGCTTTTATGAAGTTCTGGTCCATTCAATGGTGTCCAATTTCACAGTTGTCTTCCATTTGTCAAAAGAATGAATTGTAAATGGTTAGCCACAGGTGTATGCGTTTCTTGTTCTGCAGTGTTGTATATATGAAGAAAAAAAATGCACTTGTGAACTCTGTTACTTTCCCAATATATTACTATTGTAATAACAAAGATCTATGTTTGTTATTTTTAGCCTGAAAACATTATGCTTCTAGACAAGAATATCCCTATTCCACACATCAAACTCATTGATTTCGGCCTGGCTCACAAAATAGAGGAGGGAGTTGAGTTTAAAAACATCTTTGGAACGCCAGAATTTGTAGGTGAGTGACCCGTTCCTTTGTGTCATATTGGAAGTTCCATGAGGAAGTTGAGACATCTGTTCCAATTTAAGAAGTGAGGGACAGAGGTAGTTTCAGTATCATTTCTATCGAGGGGACCTAAAGCCTAGAGGTTTACTTTATTTTTCTGGAATAGCTGAAAGGTGCTTTCTATAAACCAGATATGCTACTCCTGTAAAAGTAGATTGCTGTCAAATAAATATTTAGAGATATAAATTCAGGATTGAGATTGTGAAACCTTGCCAACACAAATTATAATTTTTCACTTGTTGCCTGGGGCAAGTAAGCTCTCTGTGCAGTAGATGATAGGTACGCCATTACACCGGTATCTCTGGCATTGCTTTCTATAGAAAACTGCCTTACGTACAACTGTTGAGCACAAACCCCTTACTTCCCCTTACATTTTTCCACCTGATTTTCTTTATGTTACTCACTCATCGTAATTCTAATCTGCCTGGCTTGGATTTTAGGTTAATCTTGCTCCTTTCTACTAGAGGTTTTGGGATTGGGGGGTTGAGGGGTGGAGAGAGAACTGTAATTCATGTTCTAGTTAAACACAACCGTTTACAGACACCTTTTTTCATCTTATTACCTCACCTTGATCTTTTGTTTTGCACGCAGTCTTATATGGGGATGTTTTCCAATGAGGAAATGTTTCCTACAAAAACAGGGTTTGACATGGACAGCAATGTAGTCTGGCCTGTAATTTCAATCTCTTGCTGTTTCTGACTGGCCATTAGAAGCTACGTTTAATGGCACCGGTGAAAACCAAAGCAAAAACTCTAATTCTTTGAGGTGAAATAATTTGTTATTTGTTAGAATTTGCACTGCAATTAGTATATAATTATCTGCGTTACCCTTATTCTTCAGTTGCATTATGGTCCAAGTTCCTCTACATAATCTGTTCTGCACATCTATGAACCTGAATTCCTATCAGGGCTCTAAAACTATAAACAGTGCATCCTATAACTACCTTTCCTTTCCCCACTCCCCTTTCTCCCTCTTGCTAATTATTGACCTGCTACTCAATTCAGCCTGGTAAAAATGTGTTACCTCAGTTGCTGATGTTTAATTAATTTTTTCTTACAGCTCCAGAAATAGTAAATTATGAACCGCTTGGACTAGCTGCAGATATGTGGTAAGTTTTTAGTAATTTTTTTTTCCGGGCTGCTCTGTACTATTACTTTTTCCCAATTTGCTCTGAATATAATCCGTTCTACTGCAACAAATTCGAAACAAAACGAAACAAAAAACTTAAGTGCAATTAATCACTCTATGTTCTGTCTTGCCATTTTTTATGCATTCTTTTTAATTAAAAGATGAGCCTTGAATTTCTGCAAAATTACAGTGAAATATGTTAATGATGGCAGTTAGAGAGTTAACAGTTTGCCACTGTCTGCTGCACTCTTAAAAGAAAACATGTTCCTGCAGCGGTTGTGACAGCTTTATTTATAAGCGCACTGCATGCAGAGGAGACCTGCCTACTAATCTGATCTGCTGAGAAGGCAGGCAAAAGAGGTCACCCAAATAAAACATCCTTGCTTCTATTTCTTTGTATTTCTGATGTGTGCTGTAGTAAATACCTGCTAGAATAGAAATGCATAAGGAGACTTCAAATATCCACATTACTTGAAGTAATATGTAAAATTCATGTTTTCCCTGGAACACTGTTCTTTGAGAGAGCTCTCAGCAGTTGTCTAATGCCACGATGGCTCTCCTGCCTGTATAGCAGCTACTATTGACTTTTCATATTGTAGGTATTGTAGAACCCCTGCAATTAATCTCCTTTGTTTTTTAGGAGCATAGGAGTCATCACCTACATACTGTGAGTACAATGGATTCCCTCCTGCAGAAGTGTTCCTAAAGCTCTCTTGCACTAGTACGAAACAGCTCTTCCCTCTAGTCATTTGAGAAAGGAGCTGCACACCCTGGGTGGGCAGTGTTCTTCTAATGGGCAAATGTTATCCTGCAGCCTTTTCAAGTTTAAAATGAGGAGAAAAAGAAGAGGGGTGTTCTGAGCAGACGAAGGAAAAGTATCTGTAGCATCACTGGGCATTTCTGCTTCTTAGGGGAGCTCTAGAATGACTATGAGTTACCAGTGTGTGGAGAGGATACAAACAGAAAGTGTAATAGTACCATTTGCAAGGTGAGTTATTTCAGATGAAAACAGGGAAGCTTTAATTTGCTTGTAAAGGCAGAAGTCTAGTTTACCATGCATAAATATGGTCTCCCGTATTCAAAAAGGTGAATTGGAGCAGAGAAGTTGAGCCCAGGAACTGAGAATTCATCTTACAGGAGAGAAAAGGGCTTGTTAAAGCTAGTGAAGCAAGGGCTGGTTGGGAATATCATTGCAGTCAGTGAGCACAAGCTAAAAAAAAGATACTTTTTAAAAGAAAAGTGTGTCAACTGGTGATGAATAAATAAAAGTAGGAAGTTATGACAACCTCAAACTCTCAAAGAAATATAGGTTCTGTGAACATCATGGAGACAAGCAGTCGAGAGAGTTTTAAGATGGAACTTGACTGTGAAAACTGCTTGTGTGACAATGGATGCGTGCAATGGATCAGCACTCATTGTTTCAAGAATTCTTCTTTCCTCTGGTTTGATATGAGAGCACCAAAGTCCATTGAAATCAAGCTCTTGTGACTGCTGGGGAGCAGTGCGTGGTGGATACCGCATGCTTGGAAATACCTCACCCAAACATTCCCACCCTGGGCTTCTGCTGTTCCTAATGGCACTCAGAGGACTAACTTGGTGCCAAATTTAAAGGAGGTGCACTCTAGTGTTGGAGGGATTTGCGCTATTCAGCTCAGGGCTCAGTACAGGTGTGGAGGCTTGAAAGGGAGGAAAATAAATGTAGTGGGATTAAATCCACTCTTGGGCTATACCCAAGGATGAGACCCCCAAAAGGTGTAAAAGAGCTATGGTCTGAATCTGAGAAATCAGATTCAAATTCCCTCGTGTCCTGTGGTGCAGAAAAAGATAGGGATATGGGTTGAGATCAATCTCAGGCAAAGGGGTTTAAAATATTGTCCAGACCCTTGTTTTTTATCAGAATTCTGGTCTTCAGTGACACATGTACTTGACAGGACATTAAACTTTGTCAATTGCTGTTTATGTGTGTTCATAAATGATGAGAGGAAAGCTTAATTAGAGTTGAAGATAAGCAGGTGGGAATACTTACCATGCTCTTACAGTGATGCACAGACAACCAAGTGCTCTTGAGGTTTTTCTGTTGCATTGCGAGTTCTGTCCTGGGGGCAGAATAGTGAAGTGGGTTTCTCTCCCGTATCCGGTGTAGCAGATCTGTTTTACCTGGTTGGCCAGTAACGATTGCCATAGAAATCAAGGTTCAAAATTGTCTCCCTCCAAAGGATCAGGAGAAAAAAAGAAAGCATGTTTTTTATGATGGGAGCGGTCAGCTTACGTGATACTAGAAATTTATATGCCTTTAACTAGTACTGCCTGTTAATTTTAAAGCCGTTTGTTCTGAAGAGTTCTGAATAAAAGGGGTGTGTTGAATGATAGTGCCTGCTTTAGCAAACATGGCAGCAATCAAATGGATGCCATCATCAGGCGTAGATATCAAAATGCCTACGAGTCCTTCATTCAGTAACCAGTGGAGTGATTCACTGGGTTGTAAGGGCAAAGCCTCTATTACCACGGTCTGCTGTTAGACATTTACAGGCACTGAGTCAGGATATGACAAGGCATTTGCATTAGAAGTTAGGATTTGAGAATCCTCCCATTTCACAGACCTCAAAACTGAGTTCCAAAGAGAGAAAAAAAAAAATAATTCCAAGGAGAATAGAGGACTGTTGGCTTTGGCTTCCAGCGAAGGGCCAGAAGGTGGAATTACACAGCTGCTTTATGGCACAGTTTTGGGAAAGGGAAAAGAAACCAAAGCTCTAGGGCAGGTTTCCAAGCCTTAGTTTTGGAACAACGCCCGTGGTCTGTGGCGAGTTGCCTGCTTGTAGCCTTCTTTGTGGCTAACAGAATTGGAACAAAAGCTTAAGCAGGAGTATGTAAGAACTGTTAAGAAGTGAGATTGACTGTGGCTTATGGGGTGAAAATTTACTGCGTCAAAGACAACTGGAGGACCTCGCTCATGCTGCCTGGCTGTGTCAGCTGCTATGGTGTCATTGTGTGATTGTGGAGGGAAAGGAAACACTTCATGCACTCAAATGTTTATTCTGTGGATAAAACCACATGTGGTAGCTGGGGACTGGACTGAAGGGCCCAGGTGGTCCCATCTAACTTTCTGCTTACCCCCAAATCCCCAGCCAACATGGCAGTGGCAATACAGACAGGATAAAAGGTCTGTTGAGCAAGATCATGAAAGCAAGCAGTTTAGTATTCAAAATATCATTTTAGATCCCAGGAGTTTGCTGCAGTCCTGTTTTGAGCCTGCTGCATCCTGAAACTATGCTATCAAAGCTAGACATAATAGATAAGCATAATAATAGCCCAGAAAATTTTTAAAAAGGAATGAGATCAATTTCCTTGGTATAAAGAACATTTCCCGTAAACCAGACTTTTGCAAGTCAGCATCCCTGTGGATTGGGGGTGGGAGGGAGAAGAGGGGAGGGGAAAGGAAGGGAGGGAAGGGAAGGGAAGGGGAAGGGAGGGGAGGAAAGGCAAGGCAGGGCAGAAGGAGTCTGCAATGAATCTGTTCTGACACTGGAGTTTTATGGAGCAGAGGTAAATAGTCATCAAACATGAAGGTCGTCAGTCACAGTTGAGCAATAGGCAAAGCAGGATGAAAGCTTTTTCTGTCTAAGTAAAGATTGCTGAATAGCATTTTATTATGATGATGTCTCTATTATATCCTTGCAGGTGGAGCAGAGTGCCAACAGAATGAAATTTTGCATTGTTCAGAAACAGTTGGATTTTATTGCAGCCAAAGTCCTTTTGTTTGTGGATTCCTTTTAATGAGCAGTGTGGCCCTACCTCTCTGGTGGAGTTGGCCCCTAGACAAGGCCATACACCTGATCACACATTGTGTTTTGGTTCCAGCTGAGAAAGGTCTCTTGGCTGAACCCACTGTGCAGGGAACTTGTCAGTGGCTTTGCAGACAGCAAAGCTGTAGGGGCAGAGCTTTTCCTGAGGTCTGCTCTGCAAAAATCTATAGAAACACTACTTTATCTGCTTAAAGCTGTTAGAAGCTTCTGGCTGTAGGGTGCCATGGCTTAACCCCAACCTGCAATTAAGCACCACACAGCCACTCGCTTGCTCCCCCCATGGTGGGATGGGGGAGAAAATTAGAAGAGTAAAAATGAGAAAACTCATGGGTTGAGATAAAGACAGTTTAATAAGTAAAGCAAAAGCTGTGGGTTCATGGGGATAGAAACTTCCCTCAGCTGAAGCTTTTTCTACTTTGATTAGCAATGATTCAGTGATTCACTTAGGAGAATCTGCGCGTTTCTATCTGTGCGTGCATTAGTGCTGCACTAGAGATTTTCAAGATGAGTCTGACTCATAACCACAGATGTAGGAAGCCAAAGCTGGACCTGTTATTTCCCATGTGGTATGGCTGCTGCAACACGAGATCCACAAACGTCCTGGGAGTATATTACACCGTCACTGTCATTTCATTAGGGGACGTCTGCTGTTTATTTTTCCAATTGATCCTTCTTTCTGGCTTACCTAGCCTGAGCGGTGCATCGCCTTTCCTTGGAGAAACTAAACAAGAAACGCTTGCCAACATCACAGCTGTGAATTATGAATTTGATGAAGAATTTTTCAGCAATACCAGTGACCTGGCAAAAGATTTTATTCAGAAGCTCCTCGTGAAAGATACACGGTAAGTGAAAATTCAGAAAGATCCATTTATCTCTAGGATAAACCTGGTGAAATGGCCTGAGGAGTAATCTACAAAGCTTTCTCTGTAGTGTGTATTGCCATTCGAGAGCTAAAGAGGGGGCAAACTTCTGCTGCTGTGCCCCTACTTAATCACTTGCACCCTAACAAAAGGGACCAAAATCTCCTCAGTTAAAATTCACTTTCAGGACTGCATTCTCACCTGAGTCAAGCCTGGTACAAGAGGGTGTAGGTGAAGGGCTCAAAATAGTGTGCAGAATCCCTAGTTCCAGGTAACCACTGCTCCAATATTTCAGTCTGTTATGAATAGATATATATCTATCTATATATCTACTTGCACGGTGGTGACATGATCCTGGAACATGCCCCCAGTGGTGCAAGGGGAGAAAAATCTTCACATGTGCTGAAAGTGGAATGGTTCCTTAAGTCTCTCTGCAGCTGTTGCAATCCCCTAGAATTGCATGACAGCTATGCAGACCTTTATTCCCAATTCATAGGAACCACAGACCTTTTTTAAAAAGTTTTTCTTGCTTTTAACAAAGTGCACACAGAAGTAGCACCTCCTTCTCCTTCTCCATAACCGTATTTTTGTCCTGGAGGAAAGTCATGCCTTGCAGTTCTTTCTAATGGCTTCTCTGGGGGAGAAAATAAGTATTAGAGAGAAAGAGGCAAGCTGTTTGGTCAGGATTTCTGGAAATCCTCAGGGCAGGTGGGGTTTGACGAGAGGTTTGCACAGGTCTAACACCCTCCTTTTAAGAAGGGACAAGTCAGCGATACTGATATTTGTCCCATGTACAGAGGCAGTCTCTGTGCCATGCTGTGTTCCTACCTTTGGTTCTCAGTGCTCTTGAAGTGCCATTCACTGAACTGCCACAATGCAGAAGGAGGTTGGGATTGATCAGATTTGATTAGGTTTGAAGTGTTCCTCTCAGGAGTGTTGCTTTTGGGAAATGGCAGCTCCTGCAGGGCTGTAATATTGTGTTCCAAAGGGTGGTTTTGATGTCATTAATGTTGTATACCTTGATTCAGACATAGTCATATTAAAGGTGTGTAGAAAGGATTTATTTTCTAAGCATGTAGGATGAACAAAACAAAGTAATGTTTTATCACTTTTTATGGAAGGAAAAACAAAAATACAGGTAGTTTTGATCAAGTAAGAATTAAAATTGTGTGGAGTGAGGGCAGCACCTTACTGAAACTTAGAACAGTTACTAAACTACATACAAGCAGTTTGCCCTGAAATCTGAGAGTCAATCCTGGCATTATCTTGATAAATGCTTCCTATGAAGCCTGGGAGAAGTGGGGGTCAATGGACTCGTGTACAAGCTATTTCTTATTCAAGTCTGTACCGTTTTTTTTTTCTGTTGTTGTTTTTTAGGAAACGGCTTACAATTCAGGAAGCTCTGTCTCATCCGTGGATAACGGTAAGACTGAATAGAGAGACAGATCTTGCTTTTTACCATGAGCAAAACAGAGATAATATTCTCACTGTTATTCATGTGTTAAATAGAAAACTGTCCTCTAAGTATTTAGAGACCCTGGGTGTCTCCAAGAGATGTACTGGAAAGAAATTGGTTGGGTCTCACTAAATGCTTGGATTTCTGCAAATGACTTCTTTTATTATCATAACTTTCAAAAAGAGGGTGGCAAAGCTTTGATGTTTGTTGCACTTACAGTATCCTACATTAGACTGCACTTTGCATTTTTCTCTGTTTGCATGCACATATGCTACACCTTGGGTTTAGTGGTTTTTTTGAGTTGAGAGTTGGCAGGAAAATGGGGAAAATATAATTTCTTTCAAGATATAACTGCTGTTCCAAGTGTGTTGATTTGTGTGTCTGTATGTATTTTTTCATCATAAGCATTGCTTGCTTTGTGGATAAGTCTCTTGTTGAAAACACATTTAGCTAATCTCAGCATGACTAATGAGGATATTTGAAATTCAGTTTTTGCTCTGCACTGCACAAAACATTAACTGGAGTGTTTTCAGGATTGTTGTTTTTCTTCTTACAAATATTGACAGCTCTGAGACTTTTAACTTCTAAAAATTAACATGAAAATAAATTGCGGCCCCGTTATTTACACTTACCACATTGGAATGAATGCACATCACTTGTCACATTCATTTTTGGGTTTGAGTGTTTGTCTTTTTTTTTTTTTGCTTTTAATCAAATGCATGAAGGAAAATCTGTGGGAGCAAAGAATCTCCCAGCATTGTGGAAGTTCGTGCTGCATCCTTTGTGTAGATTTTTTGAATTGCTGCACTGCCATGTAAACATTCAGTAATACTGGTTCCTCTGTCTGACGACTCACCAGCTGAAAGAAGATACAAAAGTCCAAGAAAGCAAGAAGGTTGAGAACACACAGCTGAAGACAAAGCGCCTGAGAGAGTACACCATAAAGTGCCATTCGAGTATGCCTCCCAATAATACCTACATCAACTTTGAGCGCTTTGCCCGGATAGTAGAGGACATTTCCCTGACGGAACGGGGTTTCAGCACTTTGGCTGCATCCCACGATTCCTTGCAGGAGGACATTGATGCTCTGGTTTCCATTTATAATGAGAAAGAAGCTTGGTATAAAGAAGAGAATGAAAGTGTGAGGCACAAGCTGTCTCAGCTGAAGTATGAATACCGTAAAATTGAATCCCTGAAAAGACATCTACAAGAAGATATCAAGACTGTAGGCGCTAGTCTGACAGGCATAACCGGGAAATATGCTGATCTGCAGAGTCAGTATGAATCTCTCAGGCAAGAACTTTCTGAGGAACTCAAGTGGATACAGGATCTAATGAGCAGTTTTCGACTGGAAAATGAAGCCTGTGTGAATGGAAACTTTGACTTTGTTTTCAACAAAGATGTTAATGAATCGCTAATGGAGCTGTTAAACAGATCTCGCTGTGAAGAATTCCTTGCAGGATTGAATGTTGGTGTAGTAAAATCAAATCAGTAATGTTGTAGATCAGGTTAGGTGTAGGGTTTGCTGCCTGTTTCAATGTACAGCAGTGTAAAACGTTTTCAGTGCATGGATTCTACAAAAAAACCTTCACCTAGAACTAAAACAGAAATTCTGATTGCATGAGATGCTGACCAAGACCAAAATCTCCCAGTGGTTTGCAGTGTTAAAGTTTTTTTTCCCACATTTGGTGTCTGAATTTACAGGAACTGGATTATCACAGTGGTATGGACACATCTAACCCTACAGCCTTTTGCATTGCCTGTATCATACTTCATCATGTATCATCTTCATCATGAAGATTATCCAGTAATTAACTTGGAATAAAGAGTAGGTCAGTCTGTGCTTACTAGAAGCTGGGTGCCTGGAAGCTAATAAAAATCTCGTGGAAGCATCTTTGGCTGGATGAAGGAAACAAGTTGTGTAGACCTGCTGCGTGCAGGCAGTTCTATAGACCATATGAGAGAAATATTTGCAAAGGTTAAATCTGTCCTGTAAAATGAAGTAAATGGCCCAGTAGTTTAACATTTAGCTAGTACGATGGAAATTCTCTGTGAAATGGCTGCTGAGGAAGAAAAGTTAAGCTTATTTTTTAGGCCAGTTTTGCAGGGTGAAATCTTTTACCATTTACAGGTGTTACCATTTACTATTTACAGGTGTTAGCTGTTTATTGATCCTTTAGTTTCCTGTCCTGTACCAAAGAAATCATATTAAAGACACAATTGGGAATTTGTACTGAACTGATCAAATAATTGTGTATGTAATTTCACTCACAAATATTAGTTTGTGAGTGATAAGTGATAACACAGACCTCTGGTTTGCTTTCTACATAAAGAAGATGGCAAAGCTACAACTAATTTAACCTATGGTGTGGGACTTGGGACTGGTGTTCTTGCTGTATAGGTTTGGTTTTTTTCTTAAGCTTTAAAAAATATAGAAAAGTTGGCCCAAACTTGAATCATGTTCTGCTGTCTTGCATTTCAAAGAAGTAATTTGATTATACTGTATTAATATGCACAGATGTACCCATCTCATTTCTTGAACACAATAAATAGTTAGTTATGCAGGATGCAATTGAGCCTAATGGTGTAGTTAGTAACTGAAAAAGAGATGTCAAGCTTCTGTGTACTGAAAAGAGTTGCCAGCCAAGGTTCTGCAGCTTTGCTTAGCTGTATGAATTTGCTGCAAGGTGACTGTTAATGCAGCTCCAATAATCAGTGAGATAGTGGCCAGGCATCCCTGCATCACTGCTCCAGTCCATCTAGGGTGGATCTTATATATATATATATATATATATATTATAGTATGTCTCTCACTGCCCAGCCTCCTTCTTCCTTTTCCAGAGAAATCTAAACTAAATTGAACTGCTGCTGTTCATAACATTATTAAGAATAATGTTTCCTAATTTGAGATAAAACAATAAAAGCATGCTCTCATCCAATTTGTGTAGAGTAGAGGACCCATCACCGCCATGTCTACATTAAGATGTGCAGAGCCTGGTGAAAATTCAGAGTTCTGAAAACAGTTATTCAATGGGGATATTGTTACACTTGTCATTGTACTTGGTGGAGGATGGAAACTAGCCATCTAGAGTCCCTAGCCAGCTGGCGTTGATGGTTGGGAAGAACTGGGCTCTGGTGTGACAAATAGTATTGAGAATTTTACTTATATGCAATTTTTATTCTCTCAGAACACTTCAGCTGTCACTTCTGCAGGTTCCTTTGAGCTGGAAAACCCACGAGATACTGTGCAGGGGAACCATAATACAGCATTTTTTAGGAGGGAGGGAGTTTTAATTCTTAAAAAAGCAACTGAAAGCTTGGTGAGAGTTAGCATCTACAGATAAAACTCTCAAGAAAGAGACTGCCTTCCCTGAGCCATGATCTCATATTCTCTGTTCATGTTGATTTTCTTTATGAACAAATGCATTGGCGCGATGAGAAGGAACATTAAATGAGGCCACTCTGTTCCTGAGCGCGTTTGGGTGAGGTTAATATTGCTGTGACTCAGTCCTTGAGGCTAGTGCTCTCTGAGCTGCAGGAGGTCACTGACATACTGCTTTTGAGAAGATACTCTGATTGAAAAAACAACAAGGTCGCTGGTTTGTGGGCTACTTTAGGAATTGAGAGGCAGTTTTTTAACAGTCTGGAGTACTGTAAAGTGAGCTATTTTGATTCAGCGGTAGTTCTACTGCTGAAAGGGCGCTCAGAAATTTTTCATGATGATTGCACAGCTGACATTTAGCTGGTGACATTTTTTCCGCTCCAAATTGATTTCTACTTAGTGCTTTGTTGCACCGTGCTAGCCATTTGCAGCATGAGGGAATGATATTTAATGCTCAAATGTCCCAGTTCTGTTGTATGCAAACGGTGTATACATCTAAATGTGAGAGAGGCCCAGCTGAGAGCTTGGCTTCTTGAATTACTGCTGAGATAGCAGCACAAACGCTCTACCTATAGCGTTTGATGAGCAAAGTGAATTTTTGTCTCATAAATATTATCAATTATTTTGGTGAAAAAAAATGTTTAAATCCTCACTGACATGTTTTCCATTCCCTTTAGTACTCTCACTTCTTCAGGTGTCTGGCTTGGTTGCATTCCAGTCCAGTTCAGTATAAATATTTCTGGGTTATCCACCTCCTACATACACAGATCAGAACTTCTGGAAAGGCCATCACTCCATAAACTCTGTAATCTTTGAAGGGTTGATTTCTGGGCTTCCTCTTCTCACTTTGACTAGATCTGGTCAAACTTTTCTTCCCTCAATCTGTCAGATAGTTTTCTGGTCTATGGAAATTTTGATGTTGTTTTGGTGTTGGAAGGTTTTCAGAAGGACTGTATCAGGGTTTGTGGAACATCTGTTCCTTAACACCAGATTGGTTTTAGGCATGTGTCAGAATTCTGATATATATTCTTTTCTTCCTATTTTTCTGTACTGAGGTATTGCAATTCTTTCCCCATACATTTATTGCCGGGGTACAATGTCATGTGCTCTCATAATATGATACGGTTAAAGGACAAAGCCTTAATTTTTTTCAGATATGCTGAAAAGATTTTGGTATGCAGACAGGGTTTTATCAACCAGCATTGTGAGACACAGGAACAGGGCTACTCTCTGGTACAAGTTTAGTATTTAGGTTGTAGAATACAGCTAGTGCTATCTGAAGTTATTCCATATTTCACATTCATGTGCACTCACATGTTCTCCATCTTCAGATCTGAAATGACCGCCTCAAACTTACCTGTGTACAAAAAAAACCCCAAACCAACCGTAAAAGCACAATTCACAAAATGAAGTTAGAAAAGGGCCCTAATGTATCCTTGGTTTTAAAATATCCTTGTGAAGGGCAAAATGTGCAAACTTCTATCTGAAAATGTGGAAGGTAGCACGGGACCTAGCAGTGTGAAGGTGCTGGGGTTAGCCCTGTTCTGTCATGGTGTCTGGCAAGCAGGTGCATCCCCTGAGCAGCGGTGTGTTGCAGTGCTGGTGATGCACTGACAACAGCTCCGTCTCCTTTCTGTCAGGCCTCTCTGGAACCTTTTCATTGCTCTCTCAACACCTTTCAGAAAGAGGGACATCAATAAAGGCCAGCTCTGGGCAGAGAAAATGGTGCAGGTGTGTGCTGAGAAGCACCTCAGCAACTTCACAAAGTGAAAGCGTTGCCCTAGCACCCTCTAGCATCCCCTTAGTTACCTCTCCCGTTGGTGTAACTGTCCTTCATCCTGTCCTTTGGCTAGAAAAGCTGTTCCCAGGCTTTTTGTCTGTTTGTTGTGTGGATTGTTATGGAGCAGGAGGCAGAAGTGGTGGCTGGGGCAAAGTCTGTACCGTGTGATACACCTTTTGTGCCAGGTCAAGTGGCCAGAAAGGGGCAGCAGGGGAGCTTCTCAGAACAATGTTGTGCACAGGGCAAAGTGTGACCACTGACTTGTACGATAGTTTTAGGATTTTGTTTGAGATCAAAGGGGTCCTGTTCAGGCACAGAGTGGACTAGATTTAATTATTTTTATTCTTCTTTTACCTGTATGAGTCCACAGCTTCCCCAGAGAGCATTCTTTCCAGCCAGCTCCAGGGCACATGAAGAATCTTATGTATTTTATGCACCCAAGGAATCAAGCAATAAAATTGCTCTCTTATCTTCCAGCCAGTGGACAACCAACAGGCTTTGGTTCGGAAAGCATCTGTTGTTAACATGGAAAACTTCAAAAGGCAATATGCTAGAAGGCGATGGAAGGTATGACAGCGAGCCTTTAATCCTTCTCATGTAAGGCTTCCCAAGCCTGGTGGGATCAGAGGGCAAAATAGAGCTCAAATGTAAAATTGTAATATGCAGTAGGTAAATGAAATGTGTTTGGATATGTCTGTGCTGCATATGTGTGGTCAAATTCTCATTCTCCCCTCTCTCCATAGCTTTCTTACCGTATTGTCTCATTGTGCAACCACTTATCTCGTTCGCTGGTGAAAAGGGTCCTAATACAAGATGAAAGTTTGGTAGGTACATTTCTCAAAGGGGAAGAAGAGAGAGACTGATTTTACTGTGCAGTGATTTTTGCTGTCCTTGTATGGACGCACAGCCCAACAGGATGGCAATGGGTTTGAGTGGGAAACCAGATGGGACCGTGGCATCTCTTGTGTACTTTTAATGCTGCTCTAAGTTGTGTTACTGTGACAGAAATGTTGGGCATGGAGAGCCGGTGACTCTATAAACCCTTTAGGTGCTAGCCCCACTTATTCTGTAAAGGAGCAGCATGGAGGCTGCCAGTGATGTTTGGACACCATAGCAGTGACTGAGAAATGAGCAGTTGTGGAGAGTCTGCACTGCTCGGGTGCCCGGCCATCTGATGGAGGGAGGGGGGACCCCTGCGGTGCCTGTGGCCTTCTGGAATGAAACTCTGTGAGATTTCTATTAGCTATACTTTTCTCAGTAGATGATACACTAATAATATTAGATCATCGTGTTTGGGAGTGTGGTATCTCATTTATGTGACTAAAATGTTGTGGGGGTTCTATTTCAGAGAAACTGTGAAAGCGACAATGAGGATCCTTCACAGAGAAGAGCCACTCACCAGAGGAGAAGCAGCATATCCTGAAGTCATGAGAGTTCATGGGCAGGAGACAGAGGAAACACTCATCCTTGCTGAAAAAAGCAGCCCTGACAGTAGACTTTGACTTCTTGTCTGAATCCTTGGTATGATACTTCTCACTTCTCAAACTAACCAGGAGCTGGATGATGTTATTAAACATCTACTGAGCATTTTAGAAACTTGGGGATCCAGATTCCCGGGGAAATGCCACAGCACAAGCACCAACTGGAGTGCTCTTGTATGTTGAGTGTTTCAGTGCTGCTTCAATCTATTTGTGATATCAACTGCACTCAGGACGTAGGGCTTCTACTGATATTCTTTTACTGCAAAATAATTCACATTCTGCACAATGATTAAGACTGTGCATTATTATTTCAGTCAGGGAAATTGTTATTGAGTCTTAAGGAATTTTTTTTTATTACAATTTTTATATTTGTTAATAGCATAAATATTTAATGGCAGATATCTGACAGGCTTTGTTAGCTGTGTGCAACACTCTGCTATTGCTGTCATTGAAGAGAAAATCATAGTGCAATTACATATCATAACCTTGATTTCACAAACCTAGTGGTAAACAGCTCTATACTGCAATAAGAATTGTGCTCTAGCTGTCATCTTTGGCTGAAGACTAGCACAACTGCCATTGACAATTTGAGTACAACTGACTCTGGCCACTGAGAGGAGGAGATGGGCTATTTTTGGATGAAAAAGAGAGAAAAATTCTGTAGTGAATTACATGCACCCAAATACAATGTTTTTACAGAATGATGGCAGGATGCTTCACCGAAACAGGGCACTTAAAAACGCAAGGTATATGAAGAAATGGTCTTTATTAGACTTTGTTATTGTTTTAATTTATTGTGAGCAAATTGGAGGTTCATTAATGCCTCTTTGTATAGGTGCTGTTTACATGTAACCCAAACTTCAAACATCTGTGTTTTTATTCAGGGGGTTGTATCCAAAATTGAGGAAGTAAGCACTTTGACAGTGATGTAACTTCTTTGTGCTAGGAAGTTGCATCATTTTAACTATATTAGTTCAGTATTGTCCAATTGGTACCAAAAACGTGCATAGACAAGGTTATTTTTTCACTGAATATATTAGTTGGTAGATGTTCATATTTATTTTGATACTTCTTAAATTAAAATTCAGAAAGCAAGCCTACTAGAAACAACTATAGATTGACAAGGAAACTGGGTTTGTTTGGCTTTATGGTTGTCGTTTCTAGGATGAGGTTTTAGAGCTGAAGGTGTGAACTGGGGTTGAAAACTAGTGTCAGGGTTATTTTGCCTGGCTTCCAGTTTCCAAGAAAGAAATAAAAATATGCTGCTTTTATTTGTAGCTTTGTTATCCTTGCTTAGGCAGAGAGTAAAATGCAGTTGAGGAGAAAGTATTTCTATGAAAGGAAGGAAACGTACGAAGAAGCATTAGAAGAGAGAGGCAGAAGGTAGTATTTGAGGGAAGAAAGACAAAATGAAGGAGATGGTGGTGGTAGGAAAGCAGTGGAGAGGAATGAGCATGAGGGACACGTAGGGAGCAGAGGTGACTGGGAAGGTTGAAGGAAGGGGAAGAGAATGTAGATACAGGAATTGTGGAAGAATGTTTTGGCAAATATGGCACTGCATTGTGATATTATTTATTTCATTTCATTTAATTTCATGTCTTGTGCTGCCGTAGCCTGTGACATGTGCCTGAAGCAGAGCATGGGCTTCTCTTCACATTCAATTAAAAGGTGTATGTCTGAGCTTTCTGTGTAATTTTTGAGGCAGAATCCTCAAAATATATAGTGTCCTGTAGCAATAAATATATTAAGAGGGAGCAATAATGGGGAAAAGTATTGTTTCTGTGTCTGGAGGGAATTTTTCATAGATAGAACACTAAATAGATATATTTGGAAAAAAAAGATGGCCAAATTTGCTTCCTGCTTTCTCTGTCCTGTGCTTTACCCTTACTTCATTCCCTGGACTATGGAAAACCAAATAAACTTGGAGCCAGTGATATTTTTATGAATTCCTGGAGTTTCAAAACACCCTTGGCCTCCAGATTAGAGATTTCAGGATGCGTACATAAATTTCACTTCTGAAAATTAAGCCTTTGTTAAACCAGCTGTTAGGTCGTTGCATCAGAATTGTGCTCTCCTGGAGATGAGCTGGTTCTTAGGTAAAATCCCAGCAACTGTTGAGCAAGATGGGATGTAGCAGAAAGACATTACAGACAGCTCACGGCGTTTGGTCTTCAGTCACCTTTTTGCCCAGGTCAGCTGAGGACAGGAGCGCTGCCGTGGTCACAGGAGAGCAGCAGGGCTGGCCCTTCTCTGCGGCACTCAGTGGTTCCGTAGCTTCACGTGGCTCCCGGGTGATGTGGCTCTTCTCTCTGCACAGAAACCACAACAACCAGGGCTGCTGCCAGGCCAAACCGCCCCTGACTGTTCCAGACAGGAGCGTGCTGCCGCTGGATAATCTCTTGCTCTCAGGACTAACGTTTGTGATTTATTAGGAAATTTTACTCTGTATTTTGTTGGGTTTTTTTCTCCAAATGTGGTGTCCTTTGTATTTATCTCCCCTATCTATTCCGGTGAGGTGGAAATTCAGCCCTGTTTCAGGGAGGTGTAGTCTAATTAAACTGTGTTTACAGCACTGGAGGACACCTTCTCAGCGCAGAGCTGAGTTTTGTTCTTTGCCATTGGTGGGTTTTGAGGAACAACCCAGAGGTTCCTTTTATTAAGGACAAACAAAACAAAAAAAAGAAAGTGTGGGAGGGAAGCAGGGTGGTGGGAAGGGAGATGCGTCACCATCCCTGGAGGTGTTTAAAAGACAGGTAGACATAGTGCTGAGGGCCATGGTTTAGCCATGGTGTTTGTCAGTGTTAGGTTGATGGTTTGGACTCCATGATCTGAAAAGTCCCTTCCAACCTCGGCAATTCTATGATTCTATGTAGTACACTTTAATAGAACGATTTATGTTACAGAGTTTACTTTGGTGGAGAAGAAAAAAAAAATCTATTTTCTGTGTATTATTTTTAAGCAGTAAGGAACCTGGAGATAAGTGATAGACTGAAAAAAGATAAGTATTTTTATTAAAGTAAGACTATTTTTATTGTTATTTTAGTGGTGACGTTTTTAAATCTCTGTGCCTCTATTTTTATTAAGAGAAATACTGATTTTTTTTTTTATATACTTGGAAATAGTACCGACTGTCAAAAATAACAAATATATTTGTTATTCTGATTTGCTAATAAAACTTTGCAAAGCAGGACGAGTGTTTTTGCTTCCTTTCTTTCTACACGAGCTGCTGTGTTGCTCTGTACAAGGTAAGTGGAGCTGCTGTGGAACCGGAAAGCTCTGTGATGGGGAGAGTGCTCTTTGTGCCTGGAGCAGGGGTGGGCCCGGGCCTCCCGCCGTCCCCTCACGGCTGCCCTAGCACCGGGTAGAGCCAGGATCTGCCCCAAGGAAGCCGGTAAGGGGAGGTCGGTCCTCCCCGGACTGGGCGGCTGAGGAGGGAGCCATGAGGGGCGGCAGCCCGGCGGTCGGGAGCGGGCCTTGAACGCGCAGCCGCCCGTTTCAACCACTGAGGACAAAATGGCGGCGCCGCCCTGAGGGCCCGCCCTCGTGCCGGGCGCGTGGCGGCTGCGCGCGCAGCCTCCTGAGGGGCGAAGGGGAGGGAGCGGGGGCGGCGCGAGCGGGCGGCCGTGACCGCCATTTTCCTCAGCTGTGGTGAGGCGTCGCGGGCAGCGGGGTCAGGGGTGAAGGGGAAAGCAGATCGACATGGCAGCTTCGGGAGGACCCTTGTGGTGCTGCGTGGGACTGCGGAGGAGCCGTCATCTTAGCAGTAACTAGCCTTTTAGCCAGAGAGGTTGGTTGGTTTGCTTGCTGTTAGCCACATGCTGAAGCGAGAGGGAAGACTTGCTAGGCCGTGATGGACAGTGCTTCTTCAGGATTGGGGTCCCCACACCACGCCCTGGTGTCCCCCAGCCTCCAGGAGTGAGGTGAGCTTGGCTCTTTTCTGGGCACTTTTTCTTTGTTACCTCAGATCTGCGCCGATACTGTGCATCTGGTGAGTTTTTTAGTAAGAGGCATTGCTCCTATCCGCATTTGTATGTAGATCAGGGAAACTGTATGTGGCTGGGGAAAAAAAAGAGAGGTATATATTTAACTGTGTTCAGTTGAGAATTGAAGGAGACTCAGGAATTTCTTTTATGTCTCTTTTCTGTATGATCACTCCGTGAGTTGGCTGATATTCTCTGTATTTTTCATTTAAATGTCTACTCAAACTTTATCAGCTCCAGTGCTGGAGTGGTTACTTTGATCACATATGTTTCAGTGAGAGGAATTAAATGCAGTGGTGGACCAGACACACCTTATTGTTGGGTAGGGATGGCAGAGCACCATCACCTGGAGATGATTACGAGCTTGACAAGTGTAATCACAGCAGGCCTCATCCAGCTGGGGCAGGGAGAACTGGAGTGATTGTAGGGGGTGGCCAGAGCTGTGTCCCAGCTGGGGTCACCAGCTGTGTTGATGAGGCTCAGGGGCAGAAGGTTGGTCTGGAGGCAGAGCTTGTGATGAGCTGAGAACATAAAGATTTCTGGACGTTGGAGAACTCATGGCCCTCATCAGAGCAAGTGACTTTGCTGAGAGAGGGGTGGTTTAAGGAAAAGCCTTGGGGAGCCCTGATGGAGTGGAGAATGGGCTTCCGCTGTGTGACAAGGTGGGAAGGAATGGTTGAGCTGGTTGTGGGTCTGGGGGTCATGTTTGCACAGCAAGCCTGTGGCCGTGCTCTGTGCACAGCATGCCCCATGTCAGAAACATAAGACAGTTAGGTTATTCAGAGGTCTAATAGCATGCATTTTCGGCTCTACCTGCAGCTCTGTGTTGTATGCCAGAGACTTAGCTTCTCAGGTTTCTCCTCACAGTGTCATTGCTGGTGCAGTTTGCTGTTATTTTTGAGGGGTTAGGTGAAAAGACTGTCACTGAGCGTTAGCTTTTTATAGCACTTTCCTACAATGTGTGACCATCAGTTTCAGAGGTGTAACAATTTCCTATCCTACTTGGAACTGTGCTCAGTCACAGTCATTTTTAGGGTGGGAGATATCTGCTCAAAAAAACCAGGTAGGAAAAATTGTGTCCTAAAATACTTTTTTTTTTTTTTCCCTGAGAATGAACCTGATGAGCTGTGTTAATGAACCTATGATGCTGTGTTAAAAGTTATTGCTTGAGGTATCCTGTAGTAGTGTGTAAATTGTCTTAATATAACAATTATTTGGGGGAAAAAAAGTTTTTAAGTAATCAATCAATAGAGTAACAGGCTATCTACCTAAAATATATTGTACCAGTATGAAATTTTAATTTCATTAGATTTATTGTTTTGAAACGGAAAAACCTTTGCTTAAAGCCTTTCATTCAGCTGACAAAGGTCAGGAAATGCTGAATTAAGTTTAGCCCTAGTCATGCAATTCATGTAAGAGAAAACAATCTAAGGATGGAGTTTTGGTCTCAGTGCTGAGCCATAGTCTTGTCTCAGCTCCTGCTGGGCCTTTAAAAGCTGCAGCACACAAAGTTAAGTCCTCAAAAGTCTGCAACGAGCAAAGTCTGATTTTGAAATGTGAATGGCTCAAAGCCCATGATCATGAAAAATTGGGAGTTATGTAATGTTACTCAGTCATCTGGAGTACTCCCATTTCCCTGCATCTGCACCTGAATCAAAGCAAGAAGAAAGGCTTTTCTCAGTCTGGCACAGGAGCACTCTCTAAGTTAGTGGTAGTAGAAGTCAGTATTTAAATATGCAGTAAGCCTGTATTTATACTGTTGCGATGCAAATTTAATGAATTAGGTCCTTTCTTGGTATTTGGTTATTCTGGTGGGAAGAAATCCTACAGGAGTCCGTAGAACATCTGGGAAGATAGCTGGCAGATGTGTAATTGGAGTGGGTCCAAAGCCAGTCACTTAATCACTTACCAGGGGTGGTTTGTCATGCCAGGGTATAGAACTAAACCCTGCTATTTAACAGGCTTGCCACTGGGGCCCAAGAATGTGCTGTTACACAAATACTGACCTAAATTTATTTCCGATTCATTTTTTTTATCTTAAAGACTGAATTCATAGAGCTATTCTGTTTAACCTGCACAATATTGGAAAAGAGATATTATACAGGAGAACATAATGATTTTCTGAAGTTATTAATGCAAAATCAGTATAATTACATGTAAATGGGACCATGGTAAAGGAAATGATAGGACAGTTAGCAGGGCAAGCTGTATAAAATTTAGTGTTCTAGTTTTGGTCTTTCTAGAGCATGTAAGGCAATTTATGATTTTCTTGTCCAGTGTATCCCGGTGTCACTTACGGATAGATAAGAATGGTTATGCACACTTAGCTACGAGTAACTTGGCTTTTGCCATAGTTGATAGATATAGCTTTTTTCAGACTGCAGCCAGAGCAATCTGGGTAATGCAGGTTACAGGAGGGGGACCCATGTTTTCTGCATGCAGAGCTGTTTCATAGTTTTATGTGGTGAAGTTGAACCAGATCCGTCCTGCAGCTTTTGCTCTCTGGAGCAGTAACTGCTTGTTTCCTTCCTGTAGTTTCTCTTCCTAGTTAGCCAATACCTACATTGCAGAACAGATTTCCTGGGTATCAATGCTCGGAATCAGGTGATGTAACCTTCTTTTGCTTTGAAAGCTGGGGCCACTTAGCCTGCAATGATATGTGCTTTCAATGCATTTTGAGCTAAAATACATAAATTGGTTTTGTGGGGTTTGTGGCTACCAGAGCTCTCCCCTTGTCACAGCTGAGAGCCCTGATCACTGGGGTAGAGAACAACACTCACTCTCCTTGGTCTGAGCAACCTCTAAGTCCCAGGATGCAATATAGAAGCATCAGGGCCTCTTATAGCTGTGTTGGATGAAAGATGACCTTCTGCACAGGAGAAGGTTGATGCCTGTTTCTAGGGGACAGTTCAGGGCTGCCCCCAAACAGAGGTAGACACTTTCCCACAGTCCAGTACAGCACCGAAGGAGCCTAAGAAAGAGTTATGTTTCAGATATGCTTTTTTCCCTCTCAACTTCTTGTGTCTTCCTCGGGTAATTCCATGTTCATTGCACTGTTTCTGGGGAATGATGAACTTTGTTCAGGTAATACAGAGAGAGCATAGGTACTTTCTGCTAGTTCCACTTCTGGTGGAGGGAGTGTAAGTGCCTACTAGATAATGAGTGAAGGACTTACCTGCTGATCCCTCTTCTGTTTTTGTGGCGAAGCTAAAGTGCCACACTGTAGCCTGTTCTTTTTAACAGCTGAACTTCGTTGCAATGAGGGTTTGTCTTTGCCCTTTAGCAGAAGAGGGAATGCTTGGGAGAGGAAAGAGTTTGCTTTCTTTCATACTTGCTGATTCTTGAGATAAGCTGTTAATGTAAAAGTGACCCGAGAACCTCAATTGACAGCCACTGCTATGGGTAGCCTCATTTCAGTATGGAGCCCTCTTAGGAAAGTGTTGTCAATTAGAATCCTCTATTTATCTTTGCTTTTTCTTTTCGGCTAGTAAGCATGATCATCTTTGCAAGTCACAAGCATTTGAAGGGTGCAATAATAATTTATCATCTAGGACCCATAAAGAATTATGGAAATTCTTTTCTATCATGTTTAGAATGATTTGAAACCTATGAAAAGGTGCTGAAAAGCAATTGAAAACCTTTTTTTTTTTTTTTTTTTTTAGAATCCTCTATTTATCTTTGCTTTTTCTTTTTGGCTAGTAAGCATGATCACCTTTGCAAGTCACGAGCATTTGAAGGATGCAATAATAATTTATCATTATTCTGTGAGTCATCTAGGACCCATAAAGAATTATGGAAATCGGCTAGTAAGCATGATCATCTTTGCAAGTCACAAGCATTTGAAGGGTGCAATAATAATTTATCATCTAGGACCCATAAAGAATTATGGAAATTCTTTTCTATCATGTTTAGAATGATTTGAAACCTATGAAAAGGTGCTGAAAAGCAATTGAAAACCTTTTTTTTTTTTTTTTTTTTTTAATGATGCTGAAAAGCATTTAGTGTCTTTAAGGAATGACACCTCCAGCTGTTCAGCTTAACCTGGTGTAGTAGGTCACTGCACTTAGTACCTGACATGTTATGGTTCAAAAACTACACCTTCACCTTGAACCACACTACAGGGACTGTGAGATTATTCTTAAGTATCTGTTTCATGGGTTTCTAATGCACTAGAGAGAGCAGGCAGTTTGTTGGATATGCT